GTTTACTAAGTATGATGAATCATTCTTTATTAGGGTAACCTCAGGTAAAACCCATGTAAATGCTGCTGCTTGTTCTCAGTGTTCAAGGTTTGGATTCAAACTCTGTGGGAAGGAGGAGAGTCAGATTTTTTCCCAGTGCCAGTGATAACCTGACAATGAATGTTAGACAGGCAAATCCATGGACCTTTTCTTCTTTCTTTGTTTGTGTTACCTTTCCATTTTCCTTTCCACTTTGCAAATGATGCCCGTCTTGACATCCTATTAATTACCACCTCCCAAGATCTGTTTCCGTTCCGGTCTGTGCTGTTAGTTCTGTTCTCCCAGAATCTGACTTTCTTCAAATCCTTCACCAAAACCCATTTCAGCTGAAACATCGGAAGATCCCTTCCAATTCTAATATTTTGTTTACCAAGAAGTGTCAACACACACATGATTAGAATGAGTCATCATACAATCAGATTCTTGACAATCCCTCTAAAGTTTTCCCCATACCCCATCTGTCTAAGCCCTTGTCCCATGCAATCATCATATCTGTCAAATAGTAGGTTGCAAAATTTTTAGGTCAGGTATCTTCTTCTTTTCTCCATTTCTGTACAGAGTTAAGCACACTTGTCAACATTATTCACTGAATAATGAGGCATCCTAAGCTTATTTGTCCAGTCATTGTACTGGAATGCAGTGCAAACTTCTTAACACAGAGATTGAATAATAATTGATGTATACCATCATGTAAACAGCACAATCAATACATAATTCTACAGCTTTGAGAATTTGGATGAACTCTTACCTTCCTGTATAAAATTTCTTAATAATTTCATCACAGTTTCAAGCAATGTGAATTACATAAACTGCCCTAATGACTCACTTCAAGGTATGATAAAGGATGCTGTTCTATACGTAGCTTGCAAGAGAACGATCTACTCTGATAAGCTTGTAATATATCTTGGATTTAACATGGCAAGGAAAGGCAAAATGAAGCTGTATTAGAGGCCAATGGCTTTAATTAGAAAACGTGTCTTGAATTAGGGAGATGCCTTGTTTATTGCCTTAAAAATAATAACTAATGGTAGAATATAGAGAATGCACCTAGCTAGCATCAACACAGAGAGTAGGAAAGGCTAGATGTAAATGAATATGAGTGGTTGTTTTTTAAATCTTAAAGGAGATGTTTCCGAAATGCAGTTTATGACCTACCTAGACAAATCCTTTCTGACTGCTTCCTTCAAATAGTTTCTACCTAACACTCACCTATCTGCAACTAATTTAGATGGTGAATTCCTTAGGAGACAGACCATGCTAAATAAATGGTAAATAATATTTATACATACACTTAGAAACAGAATAAACCTTTACTGGAGAGAATTAGATGTTTGATGCTGCCGCTAGCGCAGCCACAGGGTAACATTTCTAGCAATATACAATATTTATCATGTTTTCAATCATAAAAATTATATTCATGTAGTATCTTCGAGCTTATCTTATTCAAGCTAAACCAGTTATCCACAGTATATGGGTTCATCCTGGCTCCTAGGCCTAATTATTGCATCGTATATGTAAATCATGCCTGACTTAATACTGCAGCTGTACATCAAAAAGGAAAAATATACAGCAACTTGTTCCCTTGGGATAATATGTATGAACTGGAGTTCTGCCTAATTAACCTGATGTCTGAAAGGTTAAAAGGGGAATGGTGTGATTATTCTCATTGTATCTTTAAGGGTGTTTATTCACGGTGTACTGAAATATCTATTGTGTATAGGTGTCATTGCCCTCTACTGGATCAAATCTAAACAGCTCAATTGTTTATCTCTTGGGATTGGTAGAATTCTTTGTAGAAATCTTCCTCAATTTTAAAAAAATAAAGTATCCAGTCCAGATTAGTAGGCAAATAAATATATTAATTTTATTCTTGCAACCAATCTTAATGGCCAAAGTGGACTTAGAGAAGCACAAAAACTAGAAAATTATACTGCTAGAGAAAGCTTAAACGATCACACAATTCAATCTTCATGACTATCCTTGACGTATATAGTAGCACCTATTACTGTTTTGCTCTCACCTGACTGTGAGAGAGCTGTGCTCCTCTGTAACCAGCATTCCAGTTTGACGTTGTGTTTCTTCACCCACCGCTCTCTTTATGTCATCACTATTTCAGTCTTCATGCCACTGAATCATTACATCTTGTACATACATGTGTCAATTTCTCAGCAGACCGCCCTGGGTTTTTTTTCATTCTTGTCTCTCCAGCAGCATTTCTGATTTCTGTTCATCTTCAGATTCCATCCACATGACTCAGTCAATAATTGTTGTTGCTGTTTGAGTTTTAATTTGCCTTTGGACTTTTGCCCCATGGGCTTTTGAAACCAGTTTAAAGCTCTTTTTTCCTATGTTAATGAGTTTGTGCCCCAAAATGACCTCCTTGTCTGAGGGACACCATCTATTTTCCATTCCTTTGACACACAACACTTTAGAAAAGAAGGATGCTGAAAACTTTACAGACAATATCTCCAGTTACAATCAAATTCCACAGGTTGAAAACCAATAAGTTTTGGGCAATAGTTAAGAAAACCTCTAACCTGTCACTCCTTTGTTAAAGGAAACACAAAGTCTCTTTAATTTGTATGACCTTTATTTTAGTCAGATCATAATAATTGTAAAATTTAAAAAAAAATAGAATTTGGGTTGGCGTGGAATAGATATAGCCTCTTCTCTTCTCTCACCATCCATTTTCATTATAATTTCAAAAAGAGAGGACATACATGATAAGAGTCTTTTCTTCAGATCCCTTTACGATTACAAGAGCACTTTAGAGCTCACATATGAGAACAGTCAGGCAATAACTTAAATATCAGTAGGTAGCACTCAGAAATACGTAATATAATTTCTAATTTTTGAAGGATAGATGTACACTGAAAATAGTTTCTTCTGACTGTTCTTTATATCAGTGTCTATTTGTGTGCTGCAGAGGCATAGCCCTTTTCCAGGTTTTCTTCTTTTTTCCTAATACAGAAAGTTTATAGACACATGCAAAGGGCAATCTTGTGTATATTGGTGGCCATATCTGATAGAATCTTGTGGAATTAGTACGCATATGTTTTTACACTGAACTTGAAATCCTCGTTGTTTTCTGCACCCGGCCTTGATTTCCAGCTTCCAACTGACACTTTCAAAACTGAATCAACTATTTAGTCACACAGTTACAATGAATTTAAAAGAGTAATTGTACCTGTATCACTTCCACTATTTTAACATTGATCTGTCACTGAGTGTGATGAAAAGGAATGCTTATCTTCTCAGCAAGTGTAGGGGTGACAATGAGAAAACTGTTGCTACTTTTCACCCACTTTAGCTCTTTTAGAAACTCGTGTGATTAATTCAGATATGGCACTACCTATTTGGCAGCTCTTTCCAAGTAATGACCTCATAATCACAATTTTAACATGAAACACTTTTTTTAAATCGAGCCTTGTTTTTCAGGAGAAAACACCAGAATTTGTCTATCTTATTTCTACTGATAGGAATCAAACTGTCAATCATTATTTTGAAAAGCAGGGGCTTATGATTTACACAGTAAAGTTCATCTAGAGTTAGCACATTTTCCAAAAAAGAGAGTTCCAGACTTTTTCTCTCACCTAAGTTTCCTCAAAATTCATAAATGTTGAGATCCAGAGGTTTTATTCCTGTTTAACTGAAAAGTGAATGAGAAATTGCTAATATTTCCATCAGGGTAATACACTTTATCACAAACATCAAAAAGAATATCAAAACCAAGAAGATGACACACAATAACACAAAATTAAACTGAAATGGATTAAAAGTTCACTTTGGATAAACATTCAAAGTTTATGAATATTATCCAGACCATTCTGATCAGCAAAATAGGTCTTGTGAGATCAGGCTTTCTGCATGTTTCTGCCTAATCCAAACTTAGTGCAAGACAGAAAAAAAAAATCAAAGCAAAGACAAAGAAATCTAGAAGAATCCCAGGAAAGTTATTACTAAATTACAGCTATTCTATGTGATGAGATTTATAAAGTTATTATTATTAAGCAATTATTTTTTCGCATATGGTTAAGAAGACAGAGAGTTAACTTCATGAAGTACTACAAGCTACATGGAAAAGCCTAGTAAGCAGAGCACTTTGGGTTTGCCATAAAAATGCTCAGCTTCCCCTTTCTTTGAACAAATTGACCTCAAGGTCGTGCCCTTTTTTATTTAATAGTGGATTGGCAACTTTTCAGCATCAAATTGTCAATGTTTTCTTGTATCACATCCTTTCTGCAGTCCCATCAAGGTTACGAGTCTAATTCAATTATATGGCTATCTTCTGCATCCAGTGGACAGATCACATATTAGGTGGCAGTTACGTATTATTTACTGGGGAAAATCTTTACAGTTTATTACAAACATCAAGACAGAAAAGGTGAATCTATGTCTTGTACATATAAACAAGACACAAGTCTACTTTTCCTTACATTTTGTGGACTATCTAAGGAGTTGTCTTTTTTATTACTCTTTTCTCAGGTCATATACATCCCAGAGTTTATCACATAGAGATCTCTGATGGAAATGCAAAGAATGGTATGAATGAATTGTGAATGGGAATATCTGTGTGGGAAAGCACTGGAAGAAACTATACTGAATGGCCTATATTGATACCCGCCGTCATGACTGACACTAGTCAGACCAATAAACCTGGCATTTGCATAAAGATCTGAAGGCTTGTACTCAATGAGGCTGCAGCAGAAATGAGTTACCAGCAGGAGACCTGCACAGAGACAGCAACAGGAAATACACAAGGTTACAGCCCTTCATCTGTGCCATTCCTCTTCCTGCTGTCCCAAGAAGAATATAGGCAGACATAAAAGTATCCAAAACTAGGGAAAAAAAAAACCGTAGCACTTCTGATTAAAGCATGGGTGGACTGCAGTGACTTCAGTGAAGAGCCACCAAGATATTCAAGGTGGGAGCACTTGCGCTGTGAGAAGGGGCTGAGGGAGCTAAGCTGCTTCAGCCTGTAGAAGGGATGGCTTTAAGATCGGCCTAACAACAGCCTCCAGTGCCTATGGGGACATTATCAAGAAGATGGAACCAGACTCTTCACAAGGATGCACAGCTGGAAGTTGAGACAGCAGGCATAAAATGAAACACAACAACTTCAGGCTGGGCATAAGGAAAAGCTTTTTCCCCATGAAGACAGCTGGACACTGGAGCAGGCTGTCCAGGGGTGTTGTGGCAACTCCATTCAAGAAGGGTTTCAGACCCAGACTGGACAATGTTTCGAGCAACCTGCTCTGACCTCAAAGCTGACCCTGCTTCAGTAGGAGATTGGGCTTGAGACATCCTGCAACCCCATCCAGTCTCAGTTATCTTGTGACCCTACTATCCTGTAAGACTTGTGGAAGATGAAATAAGTGATATTGTAAGGCAACAGATCAGCTTTTTGTATCCCTTAGGGGTGTAGACCTATCCAAAAACCAGTTTGTTGCTGCCAGTCAAGAGAAAACCAAGAAATGCAGTGAGAACTGGGTAGCTAGTGTCTATTGTCCTCCTTGTCTCTCACAGGTGATCCCAGCCAGACCACTTGGTGTCTTGGTGCTTGTAAATATGTAGGTGCGAGAGTATGAGAACATGAGGAAGAGCGAAAGAAATCAGTTCTGTTATCAACATTACCTATCCCTTGCAGAACCTTATTCACTAACTTCTCACAGATGTTTTGTTCCTAAATGACATGATGGATCGAAAAGTGAGAAGAATTTGCAGGGTACCACATTTATGGCAGAATCTTTGTATTCTAAGACAAGTAATTTCACAAGAAAGTGTATCAGTCCTAGCTCTGAGACCTGTTTTCTTTTAAGAGAAACAGAAAGAGAAATGTTCTTATTTTGTGACTATATTTGTGATTCTATATTCTGTAATGGGAAGCATGTCTAGCTGTGACATGGGCCTCTAGTGTCTATTGTAGGAATCATGCCAGTCTTTTGATCAGACCTTTTAGAAGTGGCCAATGAACGCGTAGAACCCAAACAGGAGCACCTTGGACTATGACCGTTTTTCGTTTTAGTGGTAACAGGCATAGTCCACAGGCAGAAGGATGCTGAATCATAGAATCACACAATCATTGAATGGTGTGCGCTGGAAGGAACTCATCTAGTTCCGTCACCACCTGCAAAACATTCTTTTTATTTTAAAAACAGCAGAGGTTTGTGAAGGCAAAGAGAGGTACAAAACAATGAGATTGGTTGCTTTTCTTAGAAGGGCTAAAGAGGTTTTCAGAAAAGCTGAGTTGATTTGGAACTCGTGTGTAGCCTTCCCTTGTGGTCAGTAGAGAGAAATAATCTCCCTAAGCAAGTCCTGAGCCTTGGGCTGTATCTTGACTTTAGCAGAAACCTAGGAAGAGTGGTACTTTATTGGCAACCTCCTAGGTGGCCAGTTAGTAGCAGCCAGCACTGATAATTATAGAAGGAGATCATGATGGATAGAAGAGCTGGAAGATCTGCCACTATCCTGGAAAGAAGTATCAGTATAAAAAAATCTTGAGGAAAGAATCGGCAGAGGAAGTAAGTTGGGAATAGTGCCAGCAAAACCCAAATATAGGCCAGAAAAGTGACTAGCGCTAATAGAAATTTGACCTTCTTATGTTGACACTAGGAACCTGAATTAACCCAAAGGTGAAGGTGAGCATATTCTCACATGGTATGTTCCACCCTCTGTCAAGAACTTGTACTCAGAGGGCTCAAGATCAGGTTAAAGATTTGTCTAGGTTGGTATAGACGATTTGCCACTGTTTGTTACATAACAGAGAAAATAATAGAAGTGATAGTATCACACCACACTAGAAGTGGGATTCAGACCCCGGTCCAGACTACTGCCTGTCAACATTTCACAGAAAGTTCGGGGTTGGAAGGGACCTCTGTGGGTCATCGAGTCCAACCCCCCTGCTGAAGCAGAGTCACCTAGAGCAGACTGCACAGGACCTTGTCCCAGGTGGGTTTTGAATATCTCCAGAGAAGGATACTCCACAGCCTCCCTGGGCAGCCTGTTCCAGTGCTCCGTCACACTCAGAGTGAAGAAGTTCTTCCTCATGTTCAGCTAGAACTTCCTCTGCTTCAGTTTGTGCCTGTTGCCCCTTGTCCTGTCACTGGGCATCACTGAAAAGAGTCTGGCCCCATCCTCTTGATGCCCACCCTTCAGATATTTATAGGCATTTATATGGTCCCATCTCAGGCTAAACAAGCCCAGCTCCTTCAGCCTTTCCTCATAGGAGAGATGCTCCACTCCCCTCACCATCCTCGTAGCCCTCTGCTGGACTGTCTCCAGTAGCTCCTCATCTTTCTTGAACTGGGGAGCCCAGTATTGGACGGAGTAGTCCAGATGGGGTTTCACTAGGGCTGAGTAGAGGGAGAGGAGAACCTCCCTCAACCTACTGGCCGCACTCTTCTGAATGCAAATGCATCCCAGCATGCCACTGGCCTTCTTGGCAACAAGGGCACAGTGCTGGCTCATGGTCAACGTGTCATCCACCAGGACACCCAGGTCCCTCTCCACAGAGCTGCTCTCCAGAAGGTCTGCCCCGAGCCTGCACTGGTGTATTGGGACCCTGTACTTGCCCTTGCTGAATTTCATCAGGTTCCTCTCTGCCCAACTCTCCAGCCTGTCCAGGTCTTACTGAAAGGCAGCACGGCCCTCCGGTGTATAAGCCACTCCTCCCAGTTTTGTGTCATCAGCAAACTTGCTGAGGGTACACTCTAACTCTTCATCCAGGTTGCTGATGAAGTTGAACAAGACTGGGCCGAGTACTGACCCCTGGGGAACACCACTAGCTTCAGGTCTCCAACTAGACTCTGCGTCGCTGATGACAACCCTCTGAGCTCTGCCATTCAGCCAGTTCTCAATCCACCTCACTATCCACTCATCTAGCCCACACTTCCTGAGCTTCACTGTGAGGATGTTATGGGAGACAGTGTCGAAAGCCTTGCTGAAGTCGAGGAAGGCAACGTCCACTGCACTCCACTCATCTATCCAGCTTGTCATGCCACCATATAAAGCTATCAGATTGGTCAAGCGTGATTTCCCTGTGGTGAATCCGTGTTGACTACTCCTGATCACCTTCATTTCCTCCACTTGCTTAATGATGAAATCCAGAAAGAGCTGTTCCACCAGCTTTCCCGGGATGGAGGTGAGGCTGACTGGCCTGTAGTTCCCTGGGTCCTCCTTCTTGCCCTTTTTGAAGACTGGAGTGACACTGGCTTTTCTCTAGTTCTTGAGCACCTCTCCTGTCCTCCAGGACCTCTCAAAGATGATGGATAGTGGCTCATCAATGACATCTGCCAGCTCCCTCAGCACTCATGGGTGCATTCCGTTGGGGCCCATGGGTTTGTGGGCATCCAGATTGCTTAAGTGATCTCTCACATTATCCTCCTCGACCAAGGGAAGGTCATCCTTTCTGCAGGCTTCCTCTCTTACCTCCAGGGCCTGGGATTCCTGAGGGCCAGCCTTAGCACTGAAGACTGAAGAAAAGCAGGCATTCAGTAGTTCTGCCTTCTCTGCATCCTCCGTCACCAGAACACCCTCCTCGTTCAGCAGCAGCCCCACATTTTCTCTAGTCTTCTGATTGCTGCTGATGTACTTGAAGAAGCTCTTCTTGTTGTCCTTGACATCCCTTGCCAGATCTAATTCCAGGTGGACCTTAGCCTTCCTCGTTGCATCTCTGCGTGCTTTGACAACATTCCTGTACTCGTCCCAAGTGGCGTGTCGCTCTTTCCACTTTCCATAGACCTTTCTTTTCCACCTGAGCTCTGCTAGAAGCTCCTTGCTCATCCATGCTGGTCTCCTGCCTCCTTTGCTATCTTTCTTGCTCAGGGGGGTGCACCAATCTTGAGCATGGAGGAAGTGGTTTTTAAGCAGCGAGCAGCTCTCTTGGACCCCCCTGCCTTTGAGAGCCCTGACCCACGGGATTCCTCCATGTAGCTCCTAGAAGAGATCAAAGTTAGCCCTCCTGAAGTCCAAGGTTTTGATTCTACTTATCGCCCTGCTACTTCCACACAGGATCCTCAACTCGATCATTTTGTGGTCACTGCAGCCAAGGCTACCCCCAACCTTCACATCCTCCACCAGTCCCTCCTTGTTTGTTAATACAAGGTCCAGCAGAGCGCCTTTCCTCGTTGGCTCCTCCACCACTTGCATCAGAAAGTTATCATCGATGCTCTGCAGAGACCTCCTGGACTGCTTGTTCCTGGCTGTGTGGTCTTCCCAGCTGATGTCAGGGTGGTTGAAATCCCCCATGAGAACCAGGGCCTGTGACTGTGAGGCTGCTTTTAGCTGCTTGTAGCAGGCCTCATTAACTTCCTCTCTCTGGTCAGGTGGCCTGTAGTAAACAACCACAACAGTGTCATCCAAATGAGCCTGTCCCTTAATTCTAACCCATAAGCTCTCAACTAGTTCTTCATCCACTCCCCGACAGAGATCCATACATTCCAGTTGCTCCCTCACATACAGAGCACCTCCACCACCTCACCTTGCAGGCCTGTCTTTCCTAAGGAGTGTGTAGCCATCTATAACAGCATTCCAGTCATGCGAACTGTCCCACCATGTCTCTGTAATTGCAATGAGATCGTGGCCCTGCGACTGCACACAGATCTCTAATTCTTCCTTTCTGTAATGCTCTGTTGTGTTCTGTTGTTTTCTGATGTGTTCTCATGTGTAGTGTTCTGTTGTACCCTCATGGTTGTTGGTCTGTTGCTTCTCAGCTTGGGACACAGCTGAGGAACATTTGTCACTGCTCTGATTGGCCGCACTAATCCCCAATGCTCGAGCATCGTGACTTTACCACCCCCCCTGCCCCGAGTCCTTCAGTTTAAAGCCCTCCTTTGGCTAGCCTGTTGCCAAAGGTCCCCTGGCCTTTTCTAGACAGGGGGACCTCATTCCTCTCTAATAGGTTATAGTCATTGAAGAAAGTCCCATTGTCATAAAAACCAAAACCCTCACAACAGCACCAGCCACGAAGCCAGGTGTGGATACTCATAATGCGTCTGTTTCTAGCTGATCCCCTTCCTCCAACTGGTAAAATGGAGGAAAAAATAACTTGGGCACCAATGCTTTTTGCTTTCACCCCCAGGGCTTTGAAATCTTCCTTAATTCTGCCAAGGTTCTGACCCATGGTGTCATTTATGTCTACGTGAAAGAGTAGCAGCAGATAGCAGTCTGTGCTCTTTACAAGTTGTGGCACCTTCTTGGCCGTATAGAATCATAGAATCATAGAAAGTTTTGGGTCGGAAGGGACCCCTAGAGGTCATCTGGTCCAACGCCCCCGCAGCAAGCAGGGACACCGCTAACTAGATCAGATTGCTCAGAGCCCTGTCCAGCCTGGTCTTGAATGTTTCCAGGGATGGGGCCTCCACTACCTCTCTGGGCAACCCGTTCCAGTGTTTCACCACCCTCATTGTAAAGAATGTCTTCCTTCTATCCAGCCTAAACCTACCCTGTTTTAGTTTAAAACCATTACCCCTCATCCTGTCACTGTTGTCTCTACTAAAAAGATTGTCCCCATCTTTCCTATAGGCTCCCTTTAAGTACTGAAAGGCTGCAATCAGGTCTCCCCGCAGCCTTCTCTTCTCCAGGCTGAACAAGCCCAACTCTCTCAGCCTGTCCTCACAGAAGAGGTGCTCCAGCCCTCGGATCATTTTTGTAGCCCTCCTTTGGACCCGCTCCAACAGTTCCATGTCCTTCTTGTGATGAGGGCTCCAGAGCTGAACGCAGTACTCCAGGTGAGGTCTCACCAGAGCAGAGTAGAGGGGCAGAATCACCTCTCCCGACCTGCTGGCCACGCTTCTGCTGATGCAGCCCAGGACACAGTTGGCC